ACCCGGGACCTCATAGTCAAACCCCAAGAAACTACCCACTCAACTGGCGGGCAACTAATCAGATCTTTTTCATTTTCCTCAAACAATATAGCACAACCCATCTTTGCGAGCCTAATGTAAGCATCGCACCTTGCGCATCTCAGCACTAGCCTCCAGAACTTTTACCCTCGTGGAAACATTCCAACCCGGTTACGTGTTACATTATTTGTCTAATGACACCAAAGAAAATGAACGGACCGAGAGAAATGCAAAATGTTTGTATTTTACTAAATGCGACTGGCTTAGTATGACCTTTCCCCCTACATCTGCAAATTATAATTCACGGCACAAGTTTATCTGGAATGAAGCGACCAAATTGGGCTCAGAACAACGATAGTATCGTTCCAAAATTGAACTCAGTCTGATTGCTTAGATCAGCCTTGTCAAGGTTAAAGATTTTGGTTGGATTCCGTTACTCAAATCAAATGTTACAAATTGCGTCCCAAACTGTGCAACAGAAGAGATCTGAAGGCATTTAGGATTAGTTGCCAGTGATAAACTAGTGAGAAAGTTTCCAGAATATTGGATCCAAATTCACAACGGATGTCATTCGAGAAACTGCTTGCCTTGTTTGTAGCACTAGATCCGCATAGGTGTGTATGGATTAGCCAATCATAGAAGAAAAACAAACAACTGTTCTAAAGACGATCTTTCGGCTCTGTGGAGGGGCTGTTCACAAACCAAAATAAGACTTGAAAATATCTTCAAAGTGGTAATAGCTTTTGGTCTCATTTCTGATTAATAGATTTAGAGAATCAGTACCCCAAGGCGATATCACTTACTGTCGATTGCTCAACTCACTAGTGTTGTTCTGTGGGATCAAAATCATGCACATTCAGCCTACAAGCCAGATCGGAAAGCAACTAAGAAACTTTGGGGAGTAATTATTGCCCATTTGGGTAATGACTCCATGAATTGTTAGCTAAAGAGAGAACTGATAAATGTGCTTATACGAAACTGGGTGAG